ATATTGGTTCAGATGTTGCTAACAACGTTCAATAAAGGATTTCCTTGTATATCAGTCCATCCATCTGACATCAGAGTCAGTGATCCTGCTTGACCAGTCCTTTGAATAATCATTGTTTGAACTCTGTCATACTCTCTTTCTAAGAGAAAAGGTGATAAGTGATAATGTGACGGTAACTTATATGATAGGCGAATTAGTTTGTAATGTTCCTTCCAATATTGATTTTCAGTTATGGAAAGAAGTGTACCACTTGCAAATTTAGCTCAAGCTAATGTCTCATCTGCTTTTCCTTGACCTTCTTTTGACATTTTGTCCACAAAGCTTGATAAAAAAGCGTGACTGTCTTGAACAGTTACTCATGGTGGATCACATAGCTGGTGACAGTGATCTCAAGAGCAAGGATCCTGCTCCTTCTTCCCCCAGACCTGGCAGCTCAACATTTTCATTTTCCATTTTTTGCAAATCTCTTATTTCACTTGAGCTACCAAGTTCCTGGAGCAAAAGGGGGGAAAGATTTTTATTTTCGCCCATTCTAGTCTGGCCTTATCCATCAGAAGGAGAAGTGGCAGGGAGCTTGCTTCCCCCCTCCCTGTCAGAAAGAGCACTCTGCTACTAAACTTGCTGCTCAGTTGCCCTGGGACGGCAGAGCCAAAGGGAAGTATAGTCTGGCCTCTCCCACCAGCCAAATATTTGAAATAAATTATTAATAGTCCAGAGTTGCATTAACAACTTTTAAAATTATAATGTTTTAAAACACAATAGATGCTAGTCTATACTGTGTGTTGTTTAAAAAATTAATTTGTTTACTTACATAGGATTCCTGAAGTAGACTTTTCTCAGATGATGTTTTTCCACCACTTCATTATATTAGCTTTCTGTATATGGCTTGTACTCTTTCAGGACAGTTTCTACATGTTATTAACTGTTTCTTCATTTTGTTGCATTGTTAGCATACTCCTGCCCACAATATTTACATTTACCAATCTTCTTCCTTCAGTGGCTTGAACTTCACTATAATAATGCCCCATACTAGTTTTTTTTCTGATTAGGCATTCTTATGACTACTTCAAACCAAAAGCACTACAAAACTAACAGATCTTATGCAAACACTTCCACCTTCCCCAACTCAAGAAAAGAAATGAGACACTGCTCTGTGTGTTTGCTGAACTGAAAATGAAACACAAATTAATCACAGTTTTAGTTTTGGTTTTGATTTGACCTGCACAGCCAATTAGGTGAATTCATAACTTGATTTTTGGTTTGGATTATTATGTGAGTGTATTTACTCTCCTGTTTACAAATCAATAAAACATATACGTACTCTCTCACACACTTCCTAGAGATAACCACCTGAAAAACTTTCATTACAACTTAGAAACTGACAATGGCATCCATTCATTGTTACTAATAAATTTTATGAAACAATGAGTTTTTAGAAATGGGAAATTTCCCATGGAAAAATAAATCAGTGGAAAACTTTCTGGAAAATTTTCTGCCCCACATCTCTGCATGTGTGTGTGCTTGTGGATGACTTTTTTGCATCCTTCCACCAAGTGTGAAGTCACCCATCAGCAGGTCTTTCACACCCTCTTCTACTGCTGGAGTAATTAAGGTTGACGGTGAACCCTTCTGCTTTAAGGCAGTTTGGATATAGATGTGAATTTTGTGACTCCGTCCTTGCTCTGTAGTGTAGCAGTATAAAACCTGGGATCCCTCTAATGCCAAACTTCGCAAACTTTAGATGTGGAGCCAAACTTTGCAGTTTGGGCTCATGTCTGGAGTTATTAAGGTGTGCCAGCGGGAGAGTGAAGCATGACGGCTATATGCCATAAAAGACTTAAGTTCCTACAAATTAGGCACTTTAGTTCCTAATTTTTAGGAATGTAGCCCCCAGAATGGAGTCCAAAACTAGTCTCCTTGTAAATGCATGCACCATGCAAAAAACCCACATGCCAAGTAAGGAATTGTCTAGAATTAGCCAATTAGGAAATGGTAACAAGAACAGTATATTTAAACCCCATCCCATCCCTTTCTAGATGTCGGGGCATCTGGGGCAGGGCTGAAAGCAAGGTATCCTTGTCTGTTTGGGATCCAGAGCCTGGAACCCACTCCTAACGGTCAGTGCCTACAAGAACTGAAAGAACTGAGCAGGACTCACTCTTTTAGAATGCGGCAGTACAAGATTCTGCAGGATATCGCTACTGCCCATCTTATATGCAATATTTTAGTGGTTTGGGAGCTTGCCTGGTATATGGGGGACCTGGGTTCCAAACCACTCTCAGCCTGAGGAGCTAAGCTATATGTCCCGGTTGCCAGTGGAATGCCCTAATCATCCGTTTGTAGGTTAAATGTATGTTGGGAGTGGGGTACTTCCCATCTTGTATTCCATTCTGCACAGCAATCTAACTTCATCAGGACGGATGGAAAAACATTTCCCCCACTCAGTCTCCTGAATAGCCTAGAGATGAGGACACAACTGAAATGTGGGCTTGAATCACCTCAGGCAAAGGAGAATTCAGGTCTCTTACTTCCTGGTCGAGAGCTCTGCCCATCAGGTACTACATCAAAAGTGGGCACCTTTGGCACTGACTACTTTAGTTTTGTAAATTAAAGTGACCCATGGCTGCTGTGCTGTGTGCTAAACTCAGGGCTGTCAGCATGCATTAGATATAATCAAAGCATGTTTGGCCCCTTAGGGTTCTCACATGCCACAATGCCTGGGTTCTGGAGGTGAATGAGGCTCAACAGGGGGCTAAATGCTCAGACCAGGGCAGTGCTGCGTAGGCATACAAGGTTGAACTGCACATCCCCAGGGGCATTTCATATTAAAAAGGGAACTGTCTAGTGAAATTAGACAGCTGCTGACTGGGGTGTTTTGAATCTCCATTTCCACTTAGTCCTTTTTTTCTTTCTTTTTTTTTTTAAGGTGGCTCCTAAGTACACAGGAACACTGATGAGCAGGGATCCTGGTTTTCCCTGATAAAAAAAAAAAAATTGCAAATTCTCTGATAAAACCCCCAAAATCCACAATTAAAATGAAACACCACTATAGGTACAGGTATCAGTTGAAAACAATGTTTTATTGATATATTTGTAATTTTAAAGCAATTTGGAAGCCTACCAGTGTCTCAATCACTACAGTAAAATAAATTTTAAGTACCTATATATTTTGGCATTTGATTTTGGATTTTTTATCATTGAAAATCAGAGCTTTCCCTGCCCCCTTTGCTTATCAGGACGCAGGTCCAGCCCCCTCACTCCCAAGCTACAGCCCCCAGCCCTGCTGTAGCCCTGGGCCCCAAGCCCCATGTATTCTCCAGGTGGGCAGTAGCCCCAGCCCCAG